TGTACCCCTGTGAGTGCTGTACCCCTGTGAGTCCGGCTGTACCCCCTGTGAGTCCGGCTGTACCCCCTGTGAGTGCTGTACGCCTGTGAGTCCGGCTGTACCCCTGTGAGTGCTGTACCCCTGTGAGTCCGGCTGTACCCCTGTGAGTCCGACTGTACCCCTGTGAGTCCGGCTGTACCCCTGTGAGTCCGGCTGTACCCCTGTGAGTGCTGTACCCCTGTGAGTCCGGCTGTACCCCTGTGAGTCCGGCTGTACCCCCTGTGAGTGCTGTACCCCCTGTGAGTCCGGCTGTACCCCCTGATCTGCACGGGAAAAAGATCTTCTGCTGGAGGAGGAAAAGGGATTTGCCTCTGTGGTTTCAGGGGCTTTTTATTATTATTTGTTATTTTTATTATTATTTATTTATTAATTATTTTTCTCTTTTAGAGGAGGAGGAAAAGGGATTTGTGCCTGTGCTCCTGGCTGGTTTACAGGACTTTTATTATTATTTATTATTTTTCGTATTTATTATATTTATTATTTATCCTTTTCATCTTCTGGAGGAGAAATAGGGATTTGTGCCTGTGTTCCTGGTTGCTTTGGGGACTTTTATTATTATTTATTATTTCTATTATTTCTTATTTTTATTATCTATTATTTTTATTATTATCTCTATTTTTTATTGTTTCTATTTTTTATTCTTTTTATTATTTATTATTTTCCTCTTCCAGAGGAGGAACAGAAGGGATTTGTGCCTGTGCTCCTGGCTGCTTTAGGGGCTTTTATTATTATTACTTATTATTTAATATTTTTATTTTTAAATATTTTTATTATTAATTGTTTTCCTCTTCCAGAGGTGGAGCAGAAGGGATTGGTGCCAGCCCTCCTGGCTGCTTTCAGGAACTTGGATTATTTTAATGAAATAATTCCATAATTGCTCCGAAACTCTTTGAACTCAGCATTTTCCCAGAGTTCTGCACTTCCCACAGTGACGTGGCAGAGAGATTATTAATATTTTTTTAATTTTTTTTTTAAATTTATTGTTTTTAGAACTTGCAGAACTTTCTGGTGATGGAGAGCTCGGGGAGGGCTGACTGTGGATTTTCAAAGTTTGGCTCTGTGATGTTTTTGAGCCTAAAATCATTTTTT